CAAGGCTGACCTATAGCCAACAATCGCTGAAATGACAAGTTCATTTCGTTCAAACAATGGACGAAAAGTCAGCTGTCTGGGCAACAAAGGGATGGCATGGACTACACCACTACACCAATCACTGTATGCATATTCGAGGCATAGGCTGTACTGGTGGGATCCCTGTTCGCCCTGGCCAGGACGTTGGCAGCCCACTCAGAAAAAATCTGAGTGAGTCAACTGAGAGCCATGATGCGTGTAAGTGCTACACCGCTGAGCTCAAAGGCAGTGCGCTGTCCAGATGGTGTTTCGACTAACATTTCAAACAGTGGGAACCAGACCTTGCTTGGCCTGAAGTCAGCAGGAGTGTCGTGTACGTCGGGAGCTTGGCGTTCCAGGTGTAGTGAATAGGTCATAGTCATGGCGAGTGGGTCCAAGGGGACCCCCTGCCTGAGTTTGGCAATTGCCGAACACCAGTGCAACGCATCTCTCGCTTGGTCCGAGAGTGTTACTCGCCTCTCCAGTTCCTGTAAGAGAGCCTGGTGTTGCAACAAAAGTGTGCTATAATGCTGACATCATTCCGATGATCCACATTAGTTCTTAGAAACGCTGACTAGGCATTTGGCTAGATTGTTTAGGCAACGGGCCTGCAGTGACCATACCAAGCCCACCTCTGTGTCCAACTCCCTGGCCAAGAACACCAACTGTTGTGTTGGCTGAGGGTGAGACTTTCTCGATTTACTAGGCAGCACAACTGGTCTAGACAATCTGATGTTAGCCTTACTGTTTGACTAACCACTTCTTATTGGGTTGTTTAACAACCAGCCATCTAGATACACGTTGATGTGTACCGGTGCAGCAGTAGCACCACCTGTTTCCACACTCTGGTGAATATGTATAATTCAAAACCTGAAGGGGAGCACCTCGCGCTTGACTACTTGCGCAACTGGGCGAATTGAGGGAGTGGCTGACTCACTGGGTCTATTGGTATGTGCAGGTAAGTATCGCTCAAATCTAGCAAGGATAACCAGTAGAAACAGAGCACGGAGAATATTATGGTGCTCGGCGTTTCTAGGAAGCTCATACAGATTTAGTCTGCTTAAGTCTAGAATGGGGCACAGCCAGCACAGCAGTGGTCCCCTGGTAGTGCCGCGAACAGGGGCTGGTTCCAGGGGGATGGAGATTGCAGCGGGAACTTGTAACCATGTATCACCACCTGGAGAGTCCTGGTATCGGTTACCCGCTGCCTCCGAACTGGAATACACTGGCACAATCAGTGCGACAGAGATGTGTGGGTTCGGCGGTTCCACATCTGGGTGATCTCTCCTCCACCAAGGTGAGACCCTGCAAGGCCTGTAGAAGTCAATAGGTTAAGACTCTGCCTTCTGCCGAACATATGCCCGACCCCTTGCCGAACATATGCCTGAACATATGCCCGACCCCTTGTCGCAAGCGGAAGCATCAAACCTTCTTCCCCTGAGAGCTGGGTAGGTGACCCCTGAGGAAGAGGGGGGTACCATCTAGTCTCTTCTTCCTGGGGTCCTTACCGCTTGCGCTTGGCAGAAGCCAAATTGGCTCGCGGGTCTCAACTGTACAAACTGGTCAGCGGGATCCCGAAGCACCGACACTGCTCCTTCCATCCCCAAAAAAGAAAAGGGTGGGTTGGTCCAGCCTGCGTAATTGAAGCGGTGGTGCACCCAGTTAAAACAGCCAAAATCGCATTCCGCTGTACAGAGGCAGCCCCTGCCACGAGAGAGAGCCAAATGACACTACAGGATATCCCTCTTAGCCGTGTGGTCTAGGAGGCTGGTGCATTCTGCCATTGAGACTTCAGAGTGCTGGCGGCGCAAAACAATTCGTTCCAGTGGGCTTGCCACAACTCAAAGTCACCACTCTACTCTTAGTGCATGGATTGTTTCCGACTAACTGGTCGGAATATTCCATGAACGTCCCACCGAACCAAATATTTTTTTGGAACTGGGGTCGGGGAAGAAACTGAAGGATCCGATCGGGTCCGAGATTTGACTCCAAACTCTGCTCGATCGGATAGCGCTTGATCCAGCAGAAAAGGTTGAGCATAAAATTGACCTATCCTTAGGCCTCTATCCTTCGGGGAACCAAAGTCCGCCCATCAACACCGTCTGTGCGTTCCCCCCTACGTATAGCAATACCGAATGCAGGACTCTGGATCCTGGAAGTGACAGTCCTAGCGAGAGTGACTGTTTCAGGATCGAGGGTGGGGGGGGGGGTTAACATCGGGTCACTAGGATCGATTATTAAATCACAGACAACTAGATAAGGATTTAAAATGTCGATATTGAGTTGCAATCACTCGGTTTTGATTACATATCCAACAAATCGTTAATATTAATCAATATATCCCATGTGTATGCGTCTATTAAAATCGAATATAATTAACACTTAACACATACCATACTATGAATTCAAGTGGTTAACCCCTTACGGACTTCCAGTGCACATGTGTATGTCATTTGACACGTGTGAGCTTCATTGTAAGTTTATTACTTTCTGGAATACTGTTATGTAACACCAGTGAAGTCTTCACCTTATTTTAGGCGGTGCTTCTAAATTGCATTTCAGAATTCAGATACGATTTTTACTCTGAGATCATTATGCACATTTGAAGGAACATTCCCATTACAACTAGAATCATATAAAGTGTCACATATAGTTGGAGTGTATGATCTGTCATATAAGAATACTCTTATTGATAGGAACATGCTACATTCAATTTCCATGTGTCCACGTCTTTCATTGTTTAATTTTGAACTGAATGGGTACTTTGTCTTTGACAATGCGGACCATGTCATTGATTTTAATACATGAAATCCAAAACTCAGATAAATCATAATAGCTAAATAAAGCAAAATACATTTCATCAGCACGAGTCAACAGTAGAGTAACACTCTATTCAGTGTGAGCTCTATTGTTAAACTTTAACTCCGGGTAAATGCATACATTGTTATGCAAGCTATGATGTGTCTACAAACAACTGTTTTTAGAAACAAAATGTTCGAAACCTCTAGATTGTAAATCTGACTGATTCTCTGTTTGAATGTGAACTTTTCATTTGTATATTTCAATTGTATTTGCAAGCATGAAATAAGACATGCAGATGACCATATTTTGCAGTAAAGGGCAGACAAACAATACAATGAAAAAAAACGCATTTACGTGCATCGTAAATGCACTGTAAATCCATATGTTTTAAAATTTGACACATTTTTGTCCCTATTATGAAATCATTGGAGCACTTTCATGTTTTTCATGAAAACACACTGTTTTAATTATCGAATCACACTGTTTAACGTGAATTATATTATATAACATCTGTATTTAATATCAAAACATTTGTGTTTTGGTACTTTTGGAAAAGTGATTGTCTGAATAATTAAAACACTTTGATGAAAAATATAGCAGATTATAAACACATAAAAACACACTGTGTTTTTCGGGACATAAGTGTGTAATTAAAGCGTTTACTGCTAGAATATTTATGGAATAATGCAATCAGTGAAATCCAAGCAGAACTGAACAAAATGTGGAGGAAAAAAATATAATCTGGTACTCGAACTGGGAGCTCGTAAGTACGGTCACGACATTACATTATTCAGTGAATAGTCTCAAGTTCATGTATTATGATGGTGCTACTATATTAAATTCAAATACTTCATCAGTTATCAAGTTTTTTTTTCTTAAAATTGAAAATAACTTGTATTACAACACTACAGTTTTACTGTTTTGGGGTAATGTTTAAAGTGTATAAAGCCTATCCTATTTTTAAAAAATTCAAAGTTTGCATAATTAAGTGTATATGATGGAAACACTTGTGGTCAGGGTTTTGATTGTACAGTGTTTATTATCACAACACTAATTCTTAAATACACATTATTTTTATGACCATGGAATAGCATCTCAACCGAGGACATGTTTTACAAAGTGTTTACCATCATGACACTTTGTAAGTAATTTCACTGAACACAGGTTTTGAAATGAGTTTTTCACCAGAATTCACTATACATTTGAAAGTGTTTATCATCGCATCACTTTGAAAAGCGATTTCAAGCAAACTGCAATCTAAATTGAAAATTGCTTTTTGAAATATGTTTCCACTGATAATATTGTAACACAATTATTGTTAATACACATTATCTGCACTCGAAATATATTTTGGAAAGTGTGAATAAAAAAAATATATCAAATGATGTGTTCCGCACTTCGCAGTATTCCACTGTAGTGATAATATACAACAAACACATCACATAATCAAGTGAATATTCATTACTAAATATGAACATTAATAAGGTAAGTTTCTGTATTTTGTTTAAAAAACATATATATATATATAGGTTTTGTAAAGAATAATAACAATCCCATGAAGAAGTGTTATTTAAAAATGATTAATCCTCGACTTATATGCATTTGAATATGAGTGCTTACTGTAATTCAAACTTTCCGTAAAAATATAATACCTAATAATTGTGAACAAGGGCACTCCTAAACAGATGAGTAATAAACTCAAACTGATAATGACATCCATAAACTCTTACTTCATTGATATAAATGAACATGGCCGGTGGTATTGTTGTCACAATTATAGTCTCTCCAAGCATGTCAAATTCTTGGGAAATATTGTAACAAGATCATTAATTTCAGAGAAACATGTTGACTAGAAATAAATGTAACTGTAAATATATTTTCACCAATTTTAAAGTCATCTCCCAAAACTTGGCAGTGTGGTTTTTTATAATTAAACATAGATCTGGCACAGATGACAATGATACTGAACCAACAATATTTTATATTAAAAGATCAATATTAATTTTCCATATTGACAAAATCATATCGTCCGCTCTAACCAAACTTACTTATTTTTTCTTCATTCTCAACTTGTTTGCACATGACAGATCATTGCACGTAGTGAAGTGAGCAGAAATTTAATGCACAATGCCCGTGCGTGACGTCACAATAGAGCATCTCTAATTGATATAAATTGTATTTCAATCTTGTGTTTGAATCACGTCCACGGTAGTACAGATCTTATATGTATTATTTGTGTGTCTTCCTGCTTTGATTCTTCTATGGAGTAGTTTAGCACCCAAGATACTCCCTGATGACAATAGACATCCACCAGCAACCAGAAATGATACATCATAATTGTAGGTAACGTCGATCATCAAACCTGAAAAATGAGGAAACAGAATTTCAAAAAAATATTATAATGACAATTGTCAAGTGGCGAGAATTATACAGAAGTCTAACATAAATATAAAATCTAGCCTAACAAATGCACATTCTCCTGGTATATAAATTATACCAAAGTGTTTCCGATTTGTGGCTAGATTTGTTGCCAGTCATTTTAATACATTGTTGTACGTATTCTGTATTTTAAATGTACCACTACCCTGCGTTGGTTAATATTAATAAAGTTAACGTGGTTATTGTTTTTTATAAATGTGATGTGCACAATGGTATATAACGTGGTCTCCGGTATGAATCATATCAGTTCATGTTTTTACTTGCTAGCAGCATTTTCTTTTATTGGTCAATAACCAACGCCCTTTTTATAATTAATATTGTCGAATTATCAAAAGTTTGTAAAATTTATTTTCCTATATCTTAAGTGAAGGTACAACTACACTTGTATGTTAAAAATATACTATATGTATTATTGTGGTAACACATGTCTATCAGTAAATTTTATATAAATATGTTGAAAAACACACAACCTGTAAGAATTAATTTATTTTACACATACCTCCAAGATAAGGATCTAAACTTATTCCAGTACCAAGACATAACAGAAACCACCCAAAGGCTTTTGGAAAACTATCGACACCCACGGATTGTTTCACACATACGGCAGCAAGGGGAAAGTAAGTTACATTGCACAATCTAAACAATAAGCTGATAATTGCCATATAATTATAGTTTCCTTTCGTGAGTGGAAGAAGCATCAACACAGTTCCTTCCACTGTTGTGTTGAACACATACACTAACTTAGGAGGGACATATCTTAAATTCGCCAACAATCTATGTGTACATCTTCCAACAAAAGAACTAAGGCCGATCATTGACATCAGTATTGATGCATTCATTTTCGGAATACCCATAGTAACGGCATTGTTGACATAATGGACAAGAGTTAATAGATGTGCAATCCCCATGAAAAGCACTGATATGCACAGAACGCAAAAAGACGAGTTTTGGTAGGAGAGGTTCGTGTCGAGCACATTGTAAATTCGTGATTGTTTTATGAATATCCTGATTGTCCTAGTTTTCGATTCTGGGAAATGATTGGTAAATGTTTTTGCTGTGAATACATGTTGTCAGTCTCGAAATGTACGTCTTCATTGTTAGGACCCATGTTATCAACTTTTGGTGGTGATCTCATCAACATTCCACAGACAAGATTATTCATGTTTATAGCGAAAACAATCATGAGTGCTCCTCTCCAGCCATATTCTGCAATCAAATGTTGATATATAGGGGAAAAACAATCATCCCGAGAGCAGCTCCAGCGTAACTTATTCCGTTAGCAAGTGCATGTCGTTTTTGAATATGCTGACCAACAATCACAATACTTGGGTCTTAAATTAGGCCACTCCCAAGACCTGAAAACAGATAAATATCAGCAGATGAAAAATGGAAATGAATTACGTGCCGCTATATATTTTTAGATGTTTTTAGATAATTTCTATTGTTAAGCTTTATCTTGTGAAAATGCACATTTAAATTCACTGTGCCACAGCTCTGGGCGTGTGTTTGTTTTAGAATTATGATTTGATGCAATTCGATGTACTATGTAAGTTAGGCTCTACCTCCCCTTTTAAATGTACAATTATATTTTAGTATTTTGTCACAAAGAATATAATTTACATACAAGCTTATTGTAATTTGTTTTTTATTTGTCCTGAGTAACATATAATCGTTGACGAAACTTCCAAATCAATTTTGAGAGTAAATCGTTTAATTTTACGTACGCAATAACAATACACTGAATTAACTAAATTATTTTCCCAGGATTGATGTTCGACATTACATGCAGCTACAATGTGCAAAGCAAGAAGACACAGAAATAATGTTTTTAAGACACGTACAACCGTGGCAGAGATTCATACACAAGATTGAACTACATATTTATCACGATTAAAAATGTTCTATTGTGACGTCACGCACGCGTGTATTCATTTTCTGTTCATTGCATTATACACGTGAGGATACATGTCCAAGATAATTTGTTTTACATATTTTTTTGTTGAAAATGTTGTATCCTGGACATGCTTTGTCGTTTTTTTGTTGAAATTTGATACATATAGTATTGCGATCAACTATATTGGTGACATATTTTTCTTTAAATTACTCATAGGATTGGATACATGTACATAACAGTTTCACAATCGGGTCAAAGATGGTTCACTGGCAGCTTTTTTTCTATTTTTGCCCTACTACTTAATATCTTTCACCTATGTTCCGTTTTCATTGATATTAAGCACATGTGTCATAGATGAATACATGACTGTTTGTTTTGTGATTTGATTGCTGGTCATCTGGCATGTAATGAATTATTTTATGATTTGATCAAAGACGAGATTGTATTAAATGTTCTTAATCAAAAACATAAAATTAATTAAAAAAAAAACAGTTAATGAAAAGAAACGTGCATAGGACATATATTATAACATGAGTGAGTCTGGTCGTAAAGAAATTCATTCATTTCCTCATAACATCTCGTACAAAATATTAGGACTATGAGTGTGAGTAAACATTAACTGACACTGATAAATACTATGTATGTTAGTCACACGTTGATGTCCGTTCCATTTAAATTGTACCATGAAAACATTGTTAGAAAGAGTGTCTTTTGGTAACACCATAGCAATTACGTTGACACACGCCTATGATACTGCACTTTCGTTTGGATACAAATATTACGTAAATATGTGAAATATGAGTCTATTATTCACTCTCAATTACTGACCACACACAGGAAATTTCATAACATTCAGAAACAAGTTGCCTGGAAGACACAGACATACATATAAGAGATGTATTACCGGGGAAGTGATTTAAACACAAGATTGAAATATACTTTTATCACAATTAAAGATGTTCTATTGTGACGTCACTCACGTGCAATATACATTCAATTTATGTTAATTTTTCTACATTTTATGAACTGTTTTGTAAACACAAGTTGAGAATGCTTTGAAGAATGACAGCATATTAGGGTCAATGTATGAACGGTTTTTTCACAGTGACATGCCGATGATGTATATTGTTTCACAGATGTGATGTTTAATGGAAAGGTCAATTTGGTCCTTATATTATACATGTGAGGATACAAGTCCAAGACATTTTTTTACAATCGAATCAAAGATGGTTTACTTCTGCCAATCTTCTTATTTGTATACAACAATTATACCTGTGATACAATGTACAGTCTCATTAGCACATTCGTCATAATACACGTCTGTGTTTATTTTGCAGAAATATCATGCAAAGATTGTATTAAATGTTCATAATCAAAATAATAAAAACTATAAAAATAAAAAAATATACATAGATCATTTAATGAGTAACCTGGTCGAAAATAAAATTCACGGAAATTTCCTCACAACAGCTCGTACAACCAATAAGTAAGTAAACTTTAAAAAAAATGAAAGTTGAATAATTTCAAAAATACACTTGTTACACGTCCTTGTTTGACCTACGTTCGTTCTCATTAAAATTATGTCTTATTCTTCTGTCATGAAACATTGTCATTTTTAAATAACAAAACAATTAAGGTGACACACGCCTTTGATACTGACTTCACACAACAAATTCATTCAGAAACAATTTGACCAGTAATTTGAATATCCAATTTGACATATTATGTATCTAGTAATACATGTCTATAACAGTTCAATTTGTGATTGGATAAAGAACAACAGACTTGCAGCATATTACTTTGTCTTCGACTTCAATAATATTTCCAATAATATCAACGTTAAACATGCCTTGTTTAATTAAATTAACAAATCGTCTGCTGAAAGCCTCCACGGGATGACGAAATTATGGGAAAAGGCATCAATAGTTCTAATTTGAGACTATGAACATCCGGGACTTTGGTTGTTGTTTAGCATTTTGTATACTCCCGTATTTTTACTGGTACCTAAAAACAACAATATTGGGAGTATATAGTGGCAGCACACACCATTCCACCATATCAAAGCCTACCAGACCAATACTCAACTACATCCAAATTCACCTGTAAGTTACCTTTCCCATGCATACTTCTCGTTGTTTAGAGAGTAGTTTTATTCAAAGAGCTGAAGAAGCCTAGAAAATTAGTTTTGTATAACATGTCATTGAATGCCTGACACCACAGTCTGTTCGTTAGATTTTTCTGTGGTATTTTTAGACACCATATAATGTGCTTTCGTGGTACTGTGAAAAAACAGATCACACGCCGATGGTTACAATAGCGAATTTATAGTACAAATTAACAAAAAACGCTGAGAAAATATCACTGAACTGTTTGAGTAACTGTATCCAATTTGTCGTTTAGCATATGTTTTATGGCATTATGTAATAATAATGTTCATGAATACTATATAGTGATCGTGATTTTAAAAATGTTGTGCCATTATGTGGAACCGTTTTTTACTATGGGGTTAATACGTGTCAAGCTGTGCTATTTTAAAGCGCAGGTAAATAAACATTGTATTTTACACGCGTTGTATACGTCGCTATGAGTCCCATATCGAACAGAACGCGGCACGACTGCCGCCCTTTAATAATACGTCAGTCAGCTCGTTACTAAACACGTATGGCATGAAAGTAATGACTTATGCTTATTTGGTTTTTCTTGTCGTTAATCAGTTAGAAAATCGTGTCCCAGTCGCCTCTAACTACATCTAATCATG